GCTAAAAACAGAAGTTTTTACAATAAACAAAGTGTCGTTTTGTTGTTACGGTTAACTGAATATTTTATTTGGATCTTAATAATGCTTCGCTTTAAAATTGAAGAATTTGTTGGGAGGAAACTGAGTTAAGAAAATACATTCATCAGCTTTTTTTTGCTTCTTGGTGGCACTGTAGAGTGTCTTGGTCTGAAAGGTAAATTAAGCTGATTGGAATCATTTAGTAGTACGTTAGATGCTTCAGTGTCATATAAATTTTAGTTTTTGCAAACCTTGATACCTGCTAGTAGTTCTTCCAATCTTATTGCATAGGAGGGCTCATCTTCAGATTTATCAGTTACTAACCAGTATTAACTTTTTCTCTGATAGCTTCAATAATTTCTAGCTATCTACTTGACAGCACGCATATCCTATTAATCATAAGTTTTTCCATGTTTTTAAAATTGTTGAATGGGTGTCAGCAGAAGGTTTTGCATGCTTCTTGCATGCTTTATACTGGAAAGAAAATCCTTTTTGGTTAAACATAAGCTTTACGCCCTTACAGTACGAAGAAGCTGATGATTTTTTTCTCATTTTCTTGCGCAATGTTAAAAAAACACAGATGATAATTGTCTTTTAACATTTATGGGTAACCACCGTTTTAGTGGCATTTTTTCTTTTCAAATTTCTGTCAAATAAAAAAAAAGAAATGAAAAAAAGAAAACTGGTATGGGTTTTAATTCAACAAATTTCGAATTGAATTTAGCTGAAAAAAATTTTTTTGTTCTCTTATTTCAAAAGTTTGTTCAAAAAAATAAGAAGGAAATAATTATTATTTTTGATAAAAAATTACACGGAAAAGAATCAAAGAAAACGGTGTGTGCAACAAGATCTTTGTGTTCTCGTTGCTTCTATAACGAAGGTATATGATAGAAAATGGTGTTCGAACATCGACAGTCGTACGATATTGTTTTCTTGCTTTTGTTCAACAAATATTCTAGAAAAAAAAAGAAGTTCACTGCATTGATCAATCATATGTCATGGCATATACGAGCGGAATAGGTGAAAAATTTATTGAGAATCTTTTGTATAAAAAATTTGTAGTTTTACTTGTTTGTTGTTTTTTCATTGTCTTCTGAATCTTTTACCTTTTTTAAAACAGCTGAGAGAAATAACTGTTAATGTCTGACTTGTGGGTAATAGGGTACAATTTGCAGCGGATCAGTGTAGTTGGGACAGTGGTATTAACCGATAAACTTAGTGTTTGTAATGCTTCGTATGATTCGATAACTCGACGTTATATTCTCTTTCCCCCTTCCCCTCCTCCCTCCTGCAAAATAATTGTATATCAGAAAACAAAGGCAGCAGTCATAACAGTAACAATTATCAGTTTTAAGTTACTTTAGGTTACTTCAGAGTTTACTACGATTGTTAATATATTATTGAATTTACAAAAACTTTTTTTGCTTATTTTTTTTAACTAAGTATTTGGATGTTTAGTGGAGCTAAACCAAAAGGTATTTTCTTACTTTGCTCCTGCTGTTGCTGTCAATAGTGTTAGTATTTACAATATAATTCTATGATTTGTATTCTGAAAAGAAATTCGTTGAAAGTTACACGTAACAATAAAGTGAAAACTGCTAAGAATACTTGTTTGGCTTATCTTTACGATACAGTTGTTGCTTTGGTTTACTCAACCAATGTTGAACTTTTTTACAATAGAAAACCTAACTGTTTGTCGCCTTGCAAATAAAATAGTTGTTAAAATGAAGCATTGAATTTTCGTTTTAATTTCAAAATTTTTTAATATTTCTTATGCTGCTTCTTTTTTTTTATTAATTGACAACACTAAAACGTTGTACTTTCAACGAATGGATGAATTGAAATATTGCCATTGTTTATAAAGTTTAAACTATTGAATCAGAGTACAACAAAACTAATACAGAGCAACCAGCAGCATTGTCTGATTGACCGATCAACTGTTCGGTTTGTAAACTTAATTTATTTCACATTGTTTTTTTAAGGTTTTAGTTTTTTTAATATTTTGCGTTTAACCATACCTCTTTTTTCGCTTTTTAAACTCTACTCTTAGTCAATATATTTGAATGGGTTGGATGTTTCTGGCAACGGGCCGTCACTTTCGACAGATCAGCATAAAATTTTATTAGCTGCTGTTGTTGAGTTTGTATTGATAGGGTTTAGCCCAACAAATAGTCGGTCTTAGAGGATGGAAGAAAAGAATAAATCGATGATGAAAACTAAAAACTGTTTCATTTGTCGACAAACTATCAGCAGTTTTCTGCCTGCACAACAGATTCGTCGTAATCGCTGCCGCTTTTTTCTCCTTTTCTCTCATTTAAACAAACAAATTTACAACGCCAGACTAATTTAATGTTTGAAGTAATTCTAGAAAAAAGAAAAATCTTTATCAAGAAACTTTTTTTTAGGCATACATGTTCAACTTCTGTAGGCATATGTGGTTGAGCTGTTAATAGCGTGGGCAAAGAAGTAGTATGAATTTAGAAATATCTTTTTAAAGAACAATTATGAGAACAGTAATCATTAGTATGAACCTATAAAATTTTCCTTCGACCAATAATTATTTTTATCTTGTTAAACTAACTCATGACACTTTGCTTTATTTTGTTGCTTATCTTTCCAAAATTTATCCCGCATGAAGAATAAAAGTTTTTATGTTTCATGAGAACTCAGCTGTCACTGGAACTTTGCTACGGTTGTTGACTTTTATACAATCTTTGCTCTGCGTCTGATGAATTGAAAACTTTGTAGCGTCTAAAACAGTAGAAGAAAAATGTATTTTTAAAATTGTAGAAAATACTAGAAGACAGCAGTTTATTCTTTCCTTTTAAATATCTCACTTGTACGGACGTCAAATGCTGCTCATACCACTAATAAGCTAACCGTGAAAATTGCCGTTAATTACAAGAAATTTTTTACTTCATTTTTTTAAAATTATTTGTTGTTGCATTTATCTACTATTTATCTAAGATAAATACTGCTTGATATGTTTAAGCTCTCAAAAAGGGGTGAGTATCCATTTAAGATCTGTATATTATCTGCTTACAGTTCTTGTAATTTACAATCCTCTTTTACGAAGCTACATTTAAGCCATTTAGTATGACTAAACAGTGGATATACTGTCCTAAAATTGGTCTTGCATTTGCTTAGATCTTAAAAATCTACTGCATACTAGACCATAAACAGTAGATGTCTCTACAGCTTTTGTGGCAGAATTGTCTTCTGCAATTGCTTCTGAAAGTCGCATTCACAAAAAGACAATCTTTATCATTTTTCATTAAAGTTGTTTGTCAAATTTTCAAACTGGTTAGTAATTACATTTTTTTTATGTCTATTGTGCTGTTAATAATGATTCCAAGTGATTAAAGCAGAACAAATTGAAAATTTAGCCTTTATTTCCATCGCATTGAAACTTTTTATAAAACCGTTATTATTATACAGTGTTCCCAATAAATTTGAATTCGTTGGAAGTTTTTTGTTGTAGCAACGACATCACCAACTATATTTTCTGGGTGCATTTAACTGGAAACTGTAGTTAAGATGCTAGGGATTATAAAATTATTTACCAAGAGAAATAAGTCTGCAGAAGAAAATAAAGTACAGGGTAAGCAGATTATAAAAAAGTTCTCTAAAACTAAATTTTAATTATTTACTCTTTTAAGAGGGAATAAAAGTAAAAATTGTTTTGAACAAAAAAATAACATAAAGTTCTTTTAATAAATATTTATTTACGTTTTTCCCTCTACTTTTTTAACGCTTTTGGAGCAGTTCTAAAAAAAGTTTTTTTGAATGAAAACATGACGCTTTCAATTATATTCTGCCAATTTTTTAGCAGACTCGTCGCATCTGACAGAAGCGATGCATGAAGCCACAGAACCATCAAACGATGAAAAAATGGAATCAGAACCTGGAAAAAAACTAGTGGCAGCTTCACCGGCCGTCAAAAGTTCCACCGAAAAAGTAGCGGAGGATGAAAATGATGTTTTGCCTGCAGTAGAACCGGCTCAAAAAATGAAAGAAGCTGAATCGGAATTCACTTCGCAACTGGAAACCGAACCTAAACTAGAAATTAAATTAGATTCTGAGCAGGAGTCTAAAATAGGACTCAAACAGGAATTAGAACTGGATTCTAAGTTGGAAGTCCAAACTAAAGCTAAGCTTGGCTCCGAACTGGAAATGAAGATTGCCCCTGAACCTGAAGTTAAATCAAAAAATGATTCTGAACTTGAATCTAAACCTGCGCCAGATTTGAAAGCGGAGCCCATTTCTGAATCGCAACCTGAATTTAAATTAGACATCAAACAGAATCTCAAACTTGAATCTCAGCTTGAACCCAAACCAGATTTCAAAAAGGAGCTTGATTTGAAACTTGAACTTGAAAATAAACTGGAAACCGAGCCAGATTTTGAAAGATTGCCCGAGGCGAAACCTATTCAGACAGTCAGTGCGGCGTTTAAATCTGAGCTGGAGCCAGAGCTCAAACCAGAGCTTAATCTCGATGGTAAACTTGAACTCAAAACAGAGTTTGAGCCAACACCCCAACCTGAAGTTAACCAGAAGCGTAAAATTACACCCAAATCCCCAGCAAAACAGACAATTCCAGCAAATTTCTCCAAAACAGGAATACAGTCGCCTACCAAAATTCAAAAATTGAGCAGACAACTGGAATCTGACGAAAATGTCAAGAAACACCGGGAATCACTAGAATCAAAGGTGGCCGCACAGATGTCGCAGAAACTACCAAATAATTTTGATGACGTTCGCGAATCGTCGCAGTAAGTTAATTATCAATTATTTCAGATAGTTTTCTTTTTCAGCTTTACTAATTACAATAATTTTATTGTTCTCCTTCTGCAGTTTTTTGGTGTTCTGATGAAAAAAAAATATATCTAAAATTAATAAATTTATGACATTTTTTGTAGGTATTATTTAGTTGTTGGTTTTTTTCTTAAATTTAATTTTTACTTTCTAATTTTATAAATATATTAAACAATTTTACACAGGGTAAGACCTTGGTTCGCTTTGAAAAAACGCAAAAATTCTTTTCTAGTTGAATAATTGATTAGTGATTAATGGTTTAAATGGTTTTTTCCCCTCACAATAACCTAAAAAATCAAGAAAAATTATTTATTCTCTCTAGTTAAAATTGAAGGGATTTAATGACTTTTCGCCAAGAATTTTGTTTTTTTGAGACCATTTAAAGTACTTTTTGCTGAAATTTGTCAAAAATTAATGAAACGTTTAAAATAAAAATTAATTTTAAATCATGGATCTATATTTGGAACTTATTTCACACTTTGTTCTTTTCCAATCTCTTTCTGGGCTTTGAAGAAGTAGGATAGTGACTAGAATGTGTGAATGTAAAAATAAGTAGTGACACCAGCCAGAAAAGTTGATTTTTATAAAGTCTACGGAAACCTTTTCAAACATCAAAACAGTCATGAAGATGTTGGGTAATGAATACGACATTCTGTGCCTAATTTGCATCAGTCTAATTTGAATTGGTTTTCTTTAAACTTTTTAAACGCCAAAAAATCACATATTACCATCACTCTGTAGGAAGTTTGAAGCAGTACGCTGTTCTAAGCATATTGCCTAAAATGTCGGGAAAAAGCTTCTTATCTTATCGGGAGCTTGTCAAGAAAAATATAAATTTGATCCTCTTGGATTTGCCATAATCATTTTTTTCGACAAGCTCCCAGTAAGACAAGAATCTTTTTATAACTCAATTTAATTATTTTTGCAAATCAGAAAAAATGGCCAATAAGTAGAAGTCATAAAAAATTTCACGAAGATTTATAGAAATGCTGCGAAGGGAGTAAAGAAGCAGGCTGATAAGTTACTTGGATTAACCGGCTGAGCTAAATCATAAATAGTTTCATACTTTATGCTTATCCTTAGCAAAACTTTGCTCTTTAATTGTTTTGAAAGTCATCCCATCCGTACGACTGAAAGGGCTGTTCCCAATTTGGAAGCAAAAGCATAAAAATTTGAAAGTTTTGGTTGTTTTAAAAGTATTGGTACTGTCTACACTTTGCTGTAGATCGTTCATCAGAACGAACGGTCAAAATTCGCGATTAGTCATAAGCATTGGTCATGACAGATGCCAAAAGTATTTCAAAAAAGCTTAAATTTTGTGTTTCATAAATCCCTCAGAAACTTATACCTGCCAAAAATTTCCAAAAAGAACTTCATTGGTTATAAAAAGTGTTTGTTATAATCGTCAAGTAACGCATCAGATATCTTGGTTTCCCACCGATAACTTTAAAATACTCAATTTTTTTGTTAGATAATTATGTAGAACGTTATTAGTTGAATTTTTGCACAGTTTAAAAGATTGGCTATTCTAATAGTTCTTTTCCCACTCCTTGTTTAATATGAAATTACTTTATCTTACACCGCTTCTCATTTGCCGTGAGGTAATGCAGTGGGTTTTGGTTCTATAAGCAAATTAAACTCAGCTTTATGGTTTCTGTCTATATTGGCACCCAAACAGTTGTAAACCTTGAGGTTTAATTTACAGTGACTTACGTAACTATCAAATCGGTGTTTAATGGTCCAATCACCGCAAAAATAACAATATATCATTGCCAGAAGCGCCGTTAATGCTATCGCGGTTAATGTAGAAATACAGTTTCTTCAAACTGTATCACATCACTCGTTGCAATCGACCATGAACGACTTTCACTGTAAAAAATGTTTCCATTAACTGTCTATGGTGACAACTAGACTGAAATTTAAACTAGACTGAAATTTGACTCCTTCCCGATGTTAGTGACGGCTACGGCTCGTCATTAACCGCCTGTAAGTTTGGAAGATAAGTGTCGGCTGCAACCGATACACTTTTATTTTACCCTTTTTACTTCCCCCTTATTTCTTCTTACTCGTTTCTTTATGTACCAGTCCATCAGTACTGTTGAAGGTGCTTATTTTATGATTCCTGCGTGCCACTCAATCTTCTAGGTTTTTCACTTTATTCAAGCCTTGAAAAAATTCTCCCTTCTCTAAATATGTTTACCAGCGTTTATGTGATCTATAAATTAAAAACTTTCATGTCTAAATATTATAGCTGGTTTCACTAGGCTTGTCTTTTCAAAAACTTGAAAACTCCTGCTTTCCTTCTCGTTATGTCAGGAATTTTACATTTTTGGTGGATTCAAACTTCTAAATGCATAAAAAGGTTTCCAGGTAAAACATCAATAAGCTGACAATTAGATTTGCTTGAAAAATGCAGAAAAATCTATACTTTCTTTAAAAATTTTTTTGTCTTCTGTTGGTAGGTGGACTGCAACAAAGATGCAGTTCAAAAGGAACTGATAAACTACATATTTAAGTTAAACATTTTTAATACTAAACCGTCTTTTTTTTTTATTCCGACTAGAAACTGTCTAAGCTACGTTGCCGACAAAACACTGCTCTCGCACCAAATTTCTCAATATACAGGGGCGGCGTGTGTCACATCATTCAGTTCCGCTGGATTTTGTCAGGTTTCTGTATATGTGAACTGTGCATCTGATGCTTAAAAGGGTGTGCACAACACAACTTTCGACTGCCAAACCCATTCCATCATATTCACTCACACTTCATAGAACTTTTTGGAAGATTTTCTTGGGTTTTTTTT